ATATATATAAGAAGAATAAATATATATATCATCAGAAATTGATTCACAACACTTGCAGAAACCAAACAATAATATACGCATATAGATACATATCTATGCATATCATCAAAATGAGTTGGAAACTCCCAGAGTCAACAAGGAATTGGAACAAATCCATATAAAACTGCAAATCTAAAAAGGTCACCAGCATAAGAATTTTAATTAACTAATTTTACTTCATTCACTAATTTTACAAGATTTATAACCAAAAATAAAAACGGAAAAAGTAGGAAAAACTGTAGGTATATATATATATATACATATATTACATATATGTGTATATACGTGTATATATGTACATTATAGTACATGTGTATGTAAGTAATATAATGTAATAAATAAATATAGGTATATAATAATCAAAATATAATATATGCATCTTATACATTGGTGAGCATGGGATAAGTTAATCGTCCCTTTTCACATGGGTTTAGTAGTCCCTTCCTAAAGAGGAGCTTTGGTGGGCCCGGTATTAGCAATCTCATATAAGACTAGAATTACATGAAACAAACATGGTACTAAATTTAGTCTAGGCCAAGCCAAGCCAACCGTGTGTTACAAACGACACTTACTCCTCTCATGTTCCAAATTAATCTGGTGAGTCTGACATAATGTAAGGTAGTCATGAGCTTTATTTATATTTATATTTTTTTATCAAATTTAAAGCCACATTGTAATAAGTTTATGACCTACCATAAATCGACTACCGTAGTAAATCTATACAAACAATACAAATTGATATTTAAAGAATTTTGTGCGAAAATATTTGTTTCAACCTAATTAATAGATTCAAATTATTCAAAGTTAGACGTGCAAGTGCACATTGTGAACAATAGCGCACATATTGAAAAATAGTAAAGGGTGCAAGTAAGGGATCTTGCCCACAAAGATTGGTTGTTAACTATGTCAAATTTGTAGTTTAACAAACACTAAGAATGACTATATCTGACAAACTCAATTATGAATGTTTGATGGTGAAACATTCTGAATTGGACAATGAAACTGACAAACAGACAATGTGTAATTGCCATTTCGTGTTGCAAAATCATATTGACGTTCAGGCAATTTCCAAAGAACTCTGCCATATCATTTTTCCCATTTTCCATGTAGCTTCATAATTAAGCACCTAACCTAAATATGAAAAACAATGGAATTTATTGCATCTAACAACATTAATGTATCAAAACTCCTAGATGTAACATTAACATAGATACAAAATAACACTAATAATATATGTCATGCCAAAAGTTGGGGAAATACATGAACAATATGGTTCTAATGAATATTTCGTACATAAAAGCTAAACCATATATATAGTGGAAGTACTACAATCCATGTCATTTTATTGGGGTGAACGGAACCCAAAATCTATTACGATCTCTAGGTGGTGAGGCTTGTGTGTCAAATTGTGATTCCAATACACTATACTCGGGTGTCTCAAAGGTGAAATCATTTGAGTTGTAATGAGTGGAGCCACTAGACACTTCGCCATATGAGAAGCCCGAGTTAGGGGTTGTATAAGAAGAGGACAACGTCTTAGTCCCATGAACAGCACTCGAGGAGGAAAAAAATGTTTTGTTTCCAACAGTTGTGTCATCTTGTGGTCCAAAACTAGAAAGAAAATCGCTCCTGTCACTTGTATAACCCCTTTTCCGCTTACCTCTCTCACCAACAATGCTATTTGGACAGTTTCTTTTGTTGTGACCAGTAACCTTGCACTCTCCGCATTGGGGGGCCTTTTTGCCTTTGCTTCCCGTTGTTTGCTTTCCTTTTGTCTTAGCAACTATGGGGTCTCTTACAACATTATTATGGCATCCTAGATTAAGACTAGTTTGCTCATGTTGCTCCTTCCATCTCTCAACCAAAGTATTTAATCTCCCAAATTCAGCCTTTAGCCTCTTGTAAGCGACTTCTGTCTGCGACCCATAAAAACAAAGCTTGTTAAAATCAGAGCTTAATGACCCAAACCTAGCCATTTGAATAGTTTCGTTGGGAACATCATCCAACTTGACTACAAATTCACTCCCGTGTCTTGCATCCTTTGTCCATCTCTTCATTATTACGGACGGATGTATTTGATCCATATGATCACATTTCATGACTCCAAACATATGACAACATGGAATTCCACTAGATTCAAATAATTTGCACAAACACTGCAGATGTTGCTCTTTCTTGTAGTACACTACAGTCCATTTCTCATCGGGTCTTCCAAATTTGGAAAATGTGTAAACATGAGGATCTTCATTGTTTCTTACGGGTTGCACGAGAATTAATTTAGCCTCCTTGTTTATCTCATTTCTTATCAACTTGTAAATATCGTGAGTGAAAATAGAAGCTGCATGTTCCTCTAGTGATCGGAGGTGCGTACGAAGGAGTGGGTGTGAATTGTTGGAATCAAAGTCATCCTTCACATTCTCATTTCTCAACCTCAATAACGATCTTTCAATCCGTGGAATACACTCCACTAACTTCATGCCTCTACCAATTCCATCCTTCAAGTTCTTATGCATACCCTCGACACGTTGTGTTGTGGTATTCCCACCAAAAAAATGCCCCGAGAAGTACGCTTCAGCCCATCGTTTCCGTTTACGGTACATCGGGCTTGTCATATACGTTGGTTTTGTACGTGTTATCAAATATCACCACATCCCCAAAGCAACAATAATCGTGTAGAGATTGAGAGTTTCTCCAAAAGAAATTTGCCAATCTATTCTCCTCATCTACACTAAACATGCAAAAAAATTCCGGATCTGCTATTGCCTTGGCATTCATGTAGCTTATTGCTGCTTCTACATCACCATCCAATACTACTTGTCGACGCTCGAAATCCATCCTGTTATATAGATCCTTACTGGTGAACCCCACTTTCATGTATCCACCTGCTTGGTCAACCATATAGTCGTATGTCCGATTGGTTTTAATGGAGGCTTTTCTCATAGACATAGATGTTAATAGAGGCTTTTCTCATAGACATAGATTGTGCTATGTTAGATTCCGTAACACACCGGTGCGAACGAAGAAAAGGCACCTCACGAGAGTTAGCAAGTCGGTGGCTGTGCTCCGTTACAAATTTAGTCACAATATAAGCATCCCGTTTAGGACAATACTTCACAGCAAATGTAGCGTGACAATTCTCTCTAGTCTCTTTCCTTGGTGTACGAACCATATTATCTCTATTCGTCCATTTCTTTGATCTGCTCCCTTCTTTTGAGCACACCCATTGTCTTCCCATCACAACCCCACCCTCGCTACGTCTCAAACGACTTCTTCTTATGCTAAAACCAATTGCAAGAGCATAGTTGCAGTAAAATCTTTCTGCTTCCTCAAATTTTGCAAACTCTCTCTCCGCTAAATCAGCAATGCTCATATTTTGGAAGTTCAACCCATCATACTCAAACTGTCCGCTTTTCTCAGTAATTTCTTCTGTTCTACTGTCCAAAATCTGTAAAGATGGGGCATTTTCAGTTTCTTCAAGTGACTCAGCCTCTGCAAAATAACCTTCACTGTTAGGTACAGAGTTTTGGCCCTGAATTCCATTCGTTTTACTTGCTTCTGCATCCATTTCCTCAAAATAGGCAACATGTCTTCCATGGCATAATTAATATGAACATAAATGGT